AAGCACTTTTCTGTGTATGTGTGATGTTTCACAATAAAAAGTTTTTATATTCTTTTTTTTCAAGTGTGAGTTCTTATCAAGAATCCCTGACTTGTGATTGAGTTTTAACAAGTTGCGGTGTCACAGGGGAGGGTGCAAGGGTCTCCCATGAAGAAGGCAGAGGTTCTCCCCTTTTTCTTTCTCTCCCTATCTATCAAATGTAGACAGAGATCGCATGGCTTTTCTCTTTTATTTGTTAATATGGCGAATTGATATTTCCAAACATGAAATTATCGTTGCATCTCTTTGACAAACTTCATTTGGTCATGATTTATTATTTCCTACATATTGCTGAACATTATTTTCTAAATATTTAAGGATATTGCATCTGTGTTCGTGACAGATATTTATATTTAGTTTTCCTTTTTATAACAATTTGTCTGATTTTAGTATCAATGTAATGCTGACCTCATAAAATGTTGGGATTATATTCAGTCTGCTTGTTTTCTGAAAGAGTTAGTGTTAGGGTTGGTATTACCTTCATTATATTTTTGACAGATTAACCAGAAAAGCCATCAGGGCTTGGAGGTTTTATATCGTGGGAAGTTTTTCAATTAAAAATTCGATTTTTAAATAAATATAAAGCATTGCATATTTCCCACTTTTTTTCATTTCTGGAAATTTATATCTTCATAGAAGTTATCCATTTTGTCTAAATTGTTAAATTGATTGACAAAATCCTTTATAATATTTCCTTATTGTCCATTTAATGTTTTATAATATGTAGTAATGCCCCACTTTCATTCATTCAAAGTCCTTTCTGTCTTTTCTTCTTCTCTTTTTTTTTTCCCTTGATTAGTCTAACCAGAAGTTTAACCTTGTTGTCAATAATTCCATCAAACAGCTTTTGGTTTTATTGGCTTTATCTATTATTTGCCTATTTTCCATGGGTTGATTTCCACTCTTTATTCTTTCCTTCTACTTATTAATTTTTACTAAAATTTGCTCTTCTTCTTCTAGCTTCCTAATGTAGAAGCCCAGTCTGCCAATATTGTACTTTGGTTCTTTCTAATATCAATATTTAAAGATATGAATTTCCTTTCTCCCCATCCCATCCCCCTCCTCTCCAGTTTGCTGCTTCACAAATTTTTAGCTGCTTCATACTTCCTGAACCTCTCAGTCTGTGTCTCCTCAACCACACAATATTGTCATTCTCAGCTTGGGTTCCCCTTTCCTTTATTTCAGAAAGTGTCTCCAGGCGGAAATTTAGGGCAATTGTAGGGATTATCTCATTTTGTTTTTTCCTTTCTCTCAAGAAATCACAGGCCAGTGCTGCTTGTTATCCAATGTCTGAAAACAGTCATTTCATGTATTTTGTCCAGTTGTTTGCAGCAGGAGGGCAAGCCCAGTCCCAGTTACTCTATGGGTGGCTAGAAACAAAAGTCTTGGGGTTTTTTTTCACCCTATATTCTGCCTCTCCAATCTCTTTACCCAAATAGACATTAATGCTATACCACGTAGAACTGGTCTTGTACCATATAGAGTTGTTCTGCTTGCAGTTTTAATTAACAGTAGTATATTATAAATCTTAACCTTTCTATTTTTTCAAGCAATGTTGTTTTTACAGGTCTGTCCATATTGCTTTAGTACATCGAGTTTGTGGTTCTAACTGCTGCATAGTTGTCTCACCTACATACTATATATCTCCTTATTTATTAGATTGTTTGTATGTTATGAAATCGTAGCAATATTTTTCCTCATAAAGGTTTCACACATTCCTTGTTAGATTAATTCTTAGAGTTCAGTTTGTTGCTAATGTGAATGGTATTTTATTTTCTATTATTTTCTAGTTTCTATTATTTTCTATTTTCTAGTTGATTTTTCAGTTATCTGAGTCTCTGCATCTGATCCTAATTGAGAGGTACCCAGAAATTTCAAGAAAAATCTGCAACCACAGAGACTATATGAGAAGCTAGATGGTCTGGAATACTACGTTTTTCAGCTCTTTCGTATTTCTCATTGTATAGTCTCAGAGTTTAGAAGCACACTGAGCCCTGGAATGACCCAAGGTAAGCAGAAACAGCCCCAGAGTCACTGGGCTGGCCTGCACAGAGCTGGGCTGTGATATATTTAGAGTCCATATCAGGGCATCTGGGAAACCTAAGAATGTGGAGCTCAGGTGGACAGAAGATGAAGCTACAGCAATTCCAATCCCTTTTCCTTCTGAGACTCGGCCTAGCCAATTGCCCTGTGTGGAGGGAGGGCTGCTGGACCACTGAGCCCAGGCTGAACAAATGTCTGTTTGACTGAGACAAATATAGTCTTGCTAGTTGCATCAAAGCTAACAGTGTGGCTCCTTAGCAGAATGACGACTTTCTTCTGTTTTAGGAAGGTAGTGAAGACTTCAGGAGGCTATTTGAGCCTTGCTAAGAAAAGGGACCCAGGCATGGTTCACAATAACAAGTAACAAAGGAACTTCTCCAGCTCAATCAGCATGTAGCATGGTTACTGGGACAGCCCCTGGATATGCAAATAGCTCAATGTGTTTGCATTTCTGAATGATGTACGAGTTTATGTATGTAATGATATAAACAGAAGAAAATCACAGTAAAACAAACTATATTACATAAAGTATCTAGAGTAGTCAAATTCATAGAAAGAGAAGGTAAAATGGTTGCCAGGAGCTGGGGTAGGGGAAAACGGGGAATTGTTTTTTAATGGATATGAAAAAGTTCTGGAGATGGGTCTCACACAATGTGAATACTTAACACTACTGAATTATATACTTAGGAATGGTTCAGGTGATAAATTGTTTATGTGCATTTTACCACAATTAAAAGTTTAAAAAAATAAACTATAAAGTCCCCCAGTTACTTAGATTAGGAAAGGGTTATTCTGTCTGTATTATCACATGGGTGATATGGGCCTGAATGCCTTCTCAGATGTGAAACCCCAGCTGTTTTGAGCTAGACGTCATGATTTTTTTTCTCGGCAGCCGCTTTGAAGTAGAGAAGTTTCTTTCTTTTTTTTCTCCTTTGCAATTTTAATCAAAGTCTTGCTAATTATTCTTTTTTAACTCTTATAAGCACCAAATTTTAATATCTAACTCAATTTTGGGGGAAAGAAACACCATCAAGAACTTCTCTCTAAGATGTCCATGCGAAAAACATGTGGCAATGTCTTGGACAAAGCAATGATGTCTATGCCTCCAAACAATCAAATTCAAAGTCTAACAAAACAAAAACAAGAAAAGCCCACAAAGAAAAAAGTAATAAAATCACATTCTAGGGATTCAGTGCATTTAGCAGCCTTCTCTGTGCTCTCGTTATCCTTCAGCTGACTTTCAAAAAACAGGACCTTAGCTCATCCAAATATACATTTTCCATTGTGCTTTTTAAAATTAAAAATAATAATTACAAAAAAAGACTTGAAGGAATTCACTATCAATTGCCTGACACGTTTCAAAGTCACATGAAGGTCAGGAAGGCTATCTGCAGCACACAGGATGAGTGCATGTTGATCTTCGAGGCTGGGCTTTCTTTCAAACTGTGTAAAATACCCACAACTCGAAGTACAAAGGGACACAGACGACCTCCTTTGAGAATTCCACAGGACAATATAGGCACTGGAGTTGTTCTTCATAGAGTGAAAGGGCTTCTGTCAAATTGACGCAGTTCCCTTGTGTAAAACACTTCCCATCCTGCTTCAGTACTCTCATTGATAGGTCAAGAATCAGTCAGAAACTCCTACGTGGAATCTTCTTCCGGAGATATGGGGATTGGAACAGCCGTCAAATCATTAATCACATAATCAAACTCTCTGCCTTCTTTGGTGTACCTCTTCAGTGCTGGAACACAGTATTCTCTGAGAACCCGATAGGAGTCTCCTGTAAGATCATCCAAGATATCGCCACACGTTTTTCACATGTATTTCGTACATCCGTCAATCACCATTTGGTCAATCTCTACCATAGTGGCCATCTTTGGTTTCAGTTTGACTACTTCATGTAATATGCCCCCATCTCCACCACCCAGAATCAGCACGTCTTTGCCAGCGTAAGCCTCTTTATCACTGCCTATGATGGCCTGGGTATAGGCCCAATCGCTCTCTGCCAGACTTACATCCCCACTCAGGATGAGAATATTTCCATATTGTTTTGAATGTAGAATTTTAATATTCTGATAAGGTGAATCTTCATCATACGCCACTTCATCTGTGTCATACTCAACCAGGCAGCCATCAGTACAGTAGGCCAGTATCTGTCGATGGCCCCTCCCCGAACTATGGGTGGTAATCGTTTCACCTGACAGAGGCTGTCCTGATTCAATTATTTCATTCTTTCTTCTACTTTGTTCAAAAGACCGTCAACTTCTTTGGCTTGCGCATCGCCGCTGTAACTCTGAAGGTCCAGCGACATCAAACCACGTGAGTCAATCCACAAGTTGACAAAGCTGCCGTTTTTGTTGATGTAGGTCACTAAATAGCCATGGTCCTGCCAGGTGTGCAGCGACTCGGTCATCCCCTGCTCCTGGAAAATGGACCGCAGGCCTTTTAGAATGGTCTCGCAGCCGGCTAGGGCGCCCAGCAGGAAGTCGAGCGTGCTGTGTTGCGCTGCTGTCATAGTGAGACCCGGCCCTGAGGCGGGCCTGAGGGAGGCGGCTATGGGAGACGGAAGGGGATGAAGAGGGCCGCGCCGGGGCTCGGGTTGCGGCCGGCGGGGAATGCCTAAAGTGGGAGAAGTTTCTGACTCCTTCCAAAATCTTTTTTAGAAAACTGTTGGCCAAGGTGAGGTCCAATCATAAATTCATTACCGCCTGGGTGGGCCACTGGATGGCGAGTCCTTTTCTGGCCGTCTCCAGGGGCCGTCCCAGTAACCACGCTTCATCTAGAAAAGCTGCAGAAGGTGAGCTCTGCTCTCCAAGGGGGCGGGACCTGGAATAAGATCTGGGAGGGGTTACGGACGGGTGGGAGTGACGTCTGAGGAAGGAGGGTAATCTAGGACGCTGTTGCCTGGAGACCGCCTGGTGCAACGTTGCCTGGAGACGGCTGGTGGTCCCGCACTAGGCGAGAGTCGAGAGGGCTGTTAGAGGAAGCCGAGCCAGACCCAGCAGGGCCAAGGCCATGGCCGGACGGCAAAAGGTGATAGCAGATGAAGTCCATCAGAACCAGATCTTGCGGGAATTGTACCTCAAAGAACTACGAACCCAGAAACTCTACACGCAGTATCACGTGAATCCCCTGCGCAAGGGTGAGGGGCGCCACTGGGTGAAGGAAGGGAAGAGGGTGGCTCCCGGGACCAACGAGTCATCTGGGGTGCTGGGCAGAGGGAGGCGGGGTTGGGGCGGAGTACAGTAGGAGGCGCCTTCTCTGACCGAGCCCCACTTCCTAGACTTCGGGAACTCCGACTTTTAGCGGGGGTTAGGAGTGTCTCGCCGTACATCACATCAAATATATTAGATACATTAAACTGCTTTTTATAATTTTGCTTCTGAACTAATTATATTTGGCAGGGTTTTATGATTTGTTATGTTTTGTTTGTGGTTTTGTTTTTAATAAGCTTAAGTTTAAGGTTTTTTTCAGGCTTCTAATAATTGTCCTAGACCTTTGGAAAGTTCAGGGGTAGTAGACTCAGGGCCCATAGTGTCCCCTGATAAAACGGCCCAACCCTCCACTCCTCACTGCACATTCCTTGGGCGGTTTTATCTGGTCCTGTAACATCAGCTCCTCCCCAACACCATCAAGGCTCAAATGGAGCCCCAGACCCATGGGCCCAAACACCTGCCAGCTCCCTTCCCCTGGAATACCCATGGGTATCTCAGACTCACTAGTTCCAAAACTAGGCACATCTCACCCTATTCTCCCACCTGCAGCTACTCTGGAATATCTTTTCTTAAAAGAGTACCACAACTATTCACTCTCCAAAGTTAGAAGCCTAGGAGTCATCCCCAGTCTCTCTCTCCTTCACTCACACATCTAAGTCATCGCAGTCCTGGTTAACATTTCTCTCATCTGCCCCTTCCCATGTCCCTACCTCAGTAAAAGACACCATCATGCATGTGTAGGCATAGCTACCTCTCTTCACTTAATTCTGACCTCTAAATAGCACCTGAGTCTGCCTCTCTCTCCATCCTCACCCCCAAGGCTCAGCAGAGCCATTCTCCCTTCTGCCTAGATTGATCTGATGGACTCCTAACTATTCTTTTCCTCTAAGCATCCCCCAACCCATCCCCTGCACCACTGCTGGCTACAGCTATCCTAATAGGTGAGTTTGATCCTGCCATTCCTCTGTAAAAGCCTCAGTGGCTCCACAGCTTCTGGGGTGAGGTTTGAACAGAACTGTACAGAAGACCCTTGTGGATCTGGCTCTGCTGCCCACCCAGCTTCATCCCCATTCCCCTCCTTTAAGAAATATTTTGATACTTGCTTTGCAGCAACTATATACACGCTTCTCTCTTACCATTCAATAAACATAGTAAAATATATAGTTGTTGATTACAACAGTCAAGCAAAATAGCATACCCGTCTTCTCACATAGTTACCATGTGTGTGTGTGGTGAGAGCACAGAAAATATGATGTCTTCACTTTCCTTACAACTTAACCTGGTTCTCCACTGGATTCCTCAACCACTAATTTCAGGAAAACAAATTAATGTCAAATTTTGTTTAAACTTGGTCCATTCCAATAATTCAAATAATCGCTCAGTCAGCCTTCAGAATTTCCAGGAAAAGTGCTGATCTCACAGCTTGTGTCCCTTGGGCACCTGATTAATATGATCCATTGTGGTACAGTGAGAAAATATTAAAACTTGTATTTATGTTTACTTTTATGTAAAAAGAAAGGAAATATGCTTTGCTAATATATTGATAATCATACATAGAGACTATGTAAATATACATATAATATACACATATTAGCAATGCATGCTCAGAAGTTTTTTTACTGATAGGAGTTGGAGATAAAATCACTTTGGTGACCATTGGTTCTTTCTGGCCTCTGCTCATTTCCTACCACTCTCTACCTAGCTCACTCCTCTTGAATTACTCTGGCCATTTGCATGTTTCTCAAACTCACCAAGGTCACTCTCAGATTCTTCTCTCACTTTATTCAGGACAGTGTTCTAATGCATCTCCTTAGAGACACATCACTCATAGCCCCACCCCACCGTCAGCTCTCTATGCACAGCACCTGCTTTACTATTCTGCATCACTTATATTTGCCAGAAATTATGTATTTGTATGTTTTCTGTCACCACAAATAGAATGGAAGTTCAGGGAGTATAGGAACCTTTGTTTAACAGCCCAGACCCATCAGTTCACCAGTAATTATGACCTGAGTGTGTGTCCGTGGATTCTGTACCTCTGTTATCACATGGCTTCCTGGGAATATATCACTATCTAACATTTTTTGCCTGCCTGGTATGTCTATATCTCTGCAGGCCAGTGCTGGCCAAGAGAAAATTCTACAATGATTAAAATATACTATATCTCTGCTGCCCAAAATGGTAGCCATTAGCCACATGAGGCTTTAGAGCATTTGAAATGTAGCTCCTATGACTTAGAAATCAATTTTAATTGTATTTAATTTTAATGATTCAAATTCAAGTAGCCACATGTGGCTAATGACCACCAAACTGGACATTGTCACTCTAGACTGTGAGGTCCTCAAAGGTCTTATTCTGTAGTGCCCAACATAAGACCTGAAATGTGACACACTGAGAAAATGCTAAATGAGTGTCTGGTTTAAGGTGAGTCTTAAAGAGGGCAGGGAGTTAGTGTTTAAACTTGAACCTGTGATGCTGTTTTTCTCTAGTTCACACGATCACCAGAAAGCCCATGTCTTGGCACGATAACCTGGAGGAACCTGAAGATGGTAAGTCCTGGGGCTTGAGAACAACAATGAGCTACAGCACACAGAGGCAGATGGCTGGAGAGACCTCTCAGGGTGGTATTACCTTGGGGCAAACATCGGTCCTCTGCTTTGATCATCTGAAAACTGGACTCATGATAACTAAGCTCATAAGAGACTGACATATTCAACCATGCTGCCAGTTTATTAACTCCTTAGCCAACAAATATGTTCCAAATGGCCTTCACGTTGTATTCATTCATTCATCAAACATTTAGCTGTTACAAGCTCATGTTCTCAAGTCATACTGAGTTCAAATCCTGATTCTGCCACTCATTAACTATGATTTGGGGCAAGTTTTTAAAACTTCTCTGAGCTTATCACCTAGGATTGTTGTGAGAATAAACAAAATAATGCAAGTGCTTAGAACAGTAGGTGGTACATAATGATCAATAAATGTTAGTTAATATTATTTTCATTATACTATGTGATAGTCACTGTATGGGGTGGGGATCTCATACATTAGTGAAGAAGACTAATAAATTAGGATCTAATTGGGATTGCGATGGTAACAGTATATAAAACAGGCACCTAAGTCAGGTAGCAGAGTTCTGGGAAGTCATCTTAAAGGAGTTGGTGACACAGTGAGAAGAAGTATGGCAAGTATAGAACTGTGGAAGGACATTTCAAGTTATATGGAAAGGCACAGATATGAGAGAAACCACCATAGGCCTAGAACTGTGAGTAGTTTGGCTTCTATGCAAAGGGGCCTGGGGAGGCAGAGCTGACTACTTCAGGTGAGCGGGGGCCACATTTGGGCATGAAGGAGAGAGTTGATGGAAAGGCTAATCCTTCCTGGAAGGATGCTCTCCTTCATCTCTACCTTCTGAGAGTAGATTATGATAGAGGAAAAATATAGGACATATAGGAGGATGGGGAAGGAAAGTGTGGCGTACAGTGCCGTGGGGAGGGGGAACATGGAGGGTTGCACAGCATACTGGAGACAGACACCTGAATAGACTAATCAAGAGAGCATAATCAAAGTAGGTAAGATTCTCATCAGTAGTGAAGACATCAGCCTACTTAGAATGAAGGACAGAAGTTGGGGACTTGTAGCAATAAGGAAAATAACAAGTGATAACGGTCTCGAAAATGTGGCAGGAGTTCAGTACTGGCTTCCTTATATCAAGGATGAGCTCAGCCAAATGCCAGTTGCCTTTTCACAGTCTTTAATTCCATTTGCAGACATTTTCCTGGGGTGGATATTTTTCTCCCATTTTACAGATGAGCCAAGCGAGGCCCAGGGAACTTAAGCCCCCTGATAAGCTAGTAGTGGAGGTCCAGGAATGTCTGACTACAAAGCCCAGATTCTTCTCATTGTCCAACTGCCTCTCTTAAATTGAGACTTGACAGGGTAGATATTGAAAATAAAAATGTTTTAAATCTTTAAGCTGCAGAGATACAAATATACCCAGTGTTAGTAGCCAAACTTATTTCGATACAGAAGGATCTAACCTCACTTCTCTCAGCCCTCTTCCTCACACTCTGGGCTGCAGCTACATTGGCCAAACTCACTATGGCCTCAGGGCCTTTGTCCTCACTGCCTGTAGTATGCTTTTCCTCTGCCTCTTTCTCAGACTTGGCTCCTGCTTGGCATCCAGAGAGGCAGCCTGTCACCATCTAGTCTGAAGTAGCCAGCTCTGCCTCCTCAGGCCCCTTTGCCTACTCCCTTCATCACAGCTCCTATCACTGTTTCCACCATGGAGTTTGCTTGTGTAATGTGCAGCATGTCCCCTGTCCCCACACCTAGACCACGAGCTTCAGGAGAACAGGGATCATGTCTGCCTACTCTGCTCTCCCTCCAGGCCCCAGAACAGTGCCTGGCACAGAGTTGGGCTCAACAAACATTTACTGAAAGATGAGTGGAAAAGGCAGACACCCATGTCTCAAGGCCCAACCAAACCTCTGAGGCTGAGTGCTGTGCCTCTAGAAAAGGATGTGGCCAGAGTAAAAAGCCCAGGACCACTTGGTTGTTGCAGAGCCAGAGTCCTCCATAACTCATGCCTCATCTCCCAGACAGGTTTCTGAATCTTATTCACCATGCTTCCCAGGGACCAAGGATGAAATACTCAGAGACACAGACTGAAAGCCACGAAATTGGATGGGACTCAGATCCCTTGGTAAGTGTGACTCCTTGACTTAGCACAGAGGCAATAGAGGTGGGGGTGGGAGAGCAGAGTATGGGCCAGACTGCTGGGTGTGAACTCTGCCTACGACTTACCAGCTGTGTAACGGTGGGTAAGTGACTCAGCTCTTTTATGACTCAGTTTTCTCAGTGTAAAATGGAGATCATACAGTACTAACTTCATAAGGTCGTTATGTGGAATGAATGAGGTAGGATTTGTAAGGGGTAAGAACAGCTGGCACATGGTAAATACAGTGTATGTTCATTAAACAAAGATTGCTGATGACAGACTGCCTCATTTGCCCTACCAGTAATCAGCAGGGTGATCTTGGGTAATTCACTTCATATCTCTAAGTTCTGCCCCCTTACCTGTGATGCAGGAGTCACAGGACTCACCCCATTTGATAGAAAGGGCGTTACTAGCTACTAGGAGCCTGGGAAATGTATCCTTCGGTGCATCATCACCCTAAATGATATAGGGCTCCTGTTACTACAGAACAAATGCAGACTTTTGAATAGACAACTTGAAGAACTTTCTGCCACTCTTGTCTTTTAACTCTGTTTATGTCTTTCATCACATAGAAAATTTTAATTTTTAAGTAATTAATGTACCATTTTTTTCCCCTTTACGGCATCTGTTTTGTGCCTTGCTTAGGAAAACCTTCAACACCAAGAATTAGAAGACAACTAACTATTCCTCTATAATTCCCCTAAATTTTCTTTTTAACACTTGGCTTTTAGTCCGTCTGTGTATTTTGTCGGTGATGCGAAGTTGGAAACACTGTTTCTCAGCTGTATGGAAAGTTCCTTCACTGCCTCGAAGGCACCAGGATCTTGCACACTCTGTGTCCCCACATGTCCTGCTCCTGCAGCCACCTCCTGACACCCAGACCAAACTCCCCAGGGACGCCTACTCATCCTCCCACGCAGCTCAGGAGTCACCTCTTCCATCAAGTCCCATTAAGGGACTTCTGGCCCTCACGCCCCACCAGGTAGAGTTGGGCACTGGCCCCTGCGCTTCTATAGCACCATGTCCTTCTAGCTGTTGCAGCATCAATCAACCCACTCAGTGTTTCAATGTAACGTGGTGGCTCTGGAGCCGGACAGCCTGAGTTCTCTCTGAACCTCTCAACTTCCGTTTATTTACCTTAAAATGGGATAGTACTATCAATACTTCAAAGTTTGTTCTGAGGATTAACTAAGACAATGTAAATAGACTGCAAAGACAGTACCTAGCACATAGAGGGTAATTAGTAAATGCGGGCTACTATGATGTCCGTGAGGAAGAATAAAAAGGAGGACCAATGAGGTTCTTCTCCCAGCCCCTTGGCTTGTACCCTGTTAAAATCATTCACCGAGTAGTTTTCTGGTGTGCTCCCTTCCCTGAAACTCCCCACTCCCAGCAGTCCTCTTATTTCTGATGCAAGGGCCTGGCCTTCTTGCCCATTTATACAACTCCAGTCTGGGGCATGTGGCTCTGCCACAGGGGTACTGCAAGCAGATGGGAATAAGGGGCTCAGTAAGTCAGGTTTTACCAGTGAGGAAGAGAGCTAATAGCTGCCCATTTGCAACAGCTCCTCTTCAGACATGGGGCATCATCTTGGAGAGAGGAGACTGCAGGAGATGGGGCGAGGGGTTCCAGCGGGAGCCCCACCATTTATGTGAGGAGGCCTGAATCCAAGAGGGAGAGGTTGGGTTAGACAGCTGGAGAAGAGAGAAATGCTCAAAGGGAAATAGAAGAGGATGTGTGTATGTAGGGAGGTTAACTTATAGTGAATAAGGGGACTGGAGATTTGTGAAGGAACGCAGGTGAAGGTGAAGATAAAAATCATCCAACTTAGATGATTTAGCAACTTAGAAAAGTATTACAGAGCACTATAATTTAACTCGCTAATCTTCACTTTTCTAAAGAGTAAAGGACTATCTCCTTTAAGTACAAGGTGTACATGTGGGAAGGCTACATCTTTGACCTACACAATTCATGGCAAGCTCACCACACCATGACAAGGAAGGACAATGTAGCTGCCCTGGCCAGCCCTGCCCTGCATGGACCCTCCTAGGCCTTGCAGATAACTGACTGCATGGCTGCCAGATGAGTCATCACTATGGAGTTGCAAAGGGTCTGCAAATACACCAAGCCTGTTCATCATTATAAACTGGGGACAACACCATCAGATGGCACTGGTGACTAGTAATAAAGTAAGCAAAAACAAACAAACAAACAAACCGTTATATCCAGGAGTTATGCAACAACCCTAAAGGATAAATTATGCAGGAGTTTCAGAGTGATGTGGTTGGGGGCAAAAGGGGCTTCATCAGCCCGGCTTCACTTTGGACTCCCTGGCAGGACCTTACCCTGGACAGACAGAGAACCTACAACCCCAAAACAGGGGAACTAGGGAAACTACGGTTGATGAAGTACCGCTCAGCCTCTGATGTCCTTGGCAATGTGTTGATAGAGTATCCTCTAAGTTAACTGCACAGTGGAGCTTCTATAAGATTTATGTGTCAGAGTGCTCACTCTTCTCTGTGTAACTACCTCAACACACTCATTCATTGCACAAATATATATTGAGTCCCTAGTGTGTGCTGGACACTGTTCTAGGTGCTGGGACTAAGCGGTGACTAAAACAGACACAGCACCTGCCCTCCTGGACTTTACATCCCAGTGGGGAAGGAATCTGTAGGCCTCCAACTCAGGCAGTGGCAAGGGAAGTGCAGCAACTCTACATGGGTTATTCTTTCAGTCCTGCAGCTCTTTTGATGTCAATGTTGTCATCTTCATTCTACAAACCAGGCCAGCGAGGAAGAGCACCAGGGGCCATATAACAGCAGAGTAGGGCTTGATTCAAGCCCAGGTCCATTGACTTCAAACCCAGATTTTCCTCTTCCCCACGGGCTTCTTTTTGACACTTACACTCTCCTTTCTAGGTCAACCCAGAACGCAATGACCACAGGCTGAACCACTTCAGGGTCTACAAAGACATCACTCTGTACAAAGCTAAAATGTGGAGCCTGGGAGAAGATGATCGCCACAAGTAATTTTCCAGCAGTGGTGTCAACCATCTTTAATGCCCAAAGTGTGTGCTGTCCAGATCAATAAGTTACTTTAAAGCCTAAACTTCTATCCTGAGTCTCTCATTTTTCCTTTCTGCCAAAGTCTACTGGGTCACATCCTGAGTCTTATAAACTAGTGGGAGAATTCCAGTTAAAGATGGCAAACTGAGTGCGAACATTCTCTCCTCTGCCTTTCCAGACCCCAATAAAGGATAATAGAGGGATATAAAAGGTATGAGCCCACAACAGAGAGAATGGGATACCTGAGCATGGAGCCCATGCCCCAGTACTCCCAGGCCTCCTAGACAGAGTGGATGTGAAAGCAGGAAACTGAAAGTGGCCATTGGCAGGGGGTCTGCAGGAAGTCCCACTCCACAGACATCAGCAGCCAGGCAGGTAACATCTTCCACATTGGAGGGTGGTTCTTGGAGAATGGGAAAAGCCCGGGCCTCAGGGACATTAAGTAAAACACAAGTTAGAAATGAGGTGTGAGACTGAAAACAATGAAAATCTGGGAAGGGAAGGTTGAACCCCTAGCCCACACTCATATTGTAGATTGACCCTGGATTTGAAGCTGATAAAATCCTGTCTGGAAAAATACAGCAGCTCTTTAAAAAGACCTGGACATAGTACCATTTTAAGATCCTGTGAAAAAAGAGCCAGGACATTTCCAGGAGGTGAACACTGGAGGTGTTGGGAGAGTGACATACACCCGGGGGGAGCATAAAAGCTCCGTGCAAACCTGAGTGTCCTAGCCCTAAAAGATACTTTCATACAGTATGATGGGCTAGAGTAATTATTAATGACTACATGGGAATCTAAAACTGTACCGGCATCTCTGAACTTTATAACCTTTTTGCTACAAGGGATCCATGATCCAAGACCAGAGGGTGACCCTGTAATATCATGAAAAAATATTTTTTGTCCCTGGTTCTTAACACAGAGTTTCCAAATCCCTTGCAATTTCCTAAGTGATAGTGGTGATAAGAGTGTGTTTTTCTAACAAGATGACTCTTGGCTGTGTCTAGTTTCAGGACGGGGGCGCTATTTGCCAGAAAGACCAAGCCTTGATTAGAAACTTGGAACTTTCAGCCCCACCACCAACCTCTGGGGAAAGAAGAGGGGCTTAAGATTGAGCTAATCACCAGTGACAATGATTTAATCAATAACGCAGATGTCGTGAGTCCTCCACAAAAAGCCCTAAACTACAGGGTTTAGAGAGCTTCCAGGCTGGTGAACACATCAAGGTGCTGGGAGGGTGGCGTGCCCAAGCACGGCATGGACGTCTATGTACCAAGCCTTTAATTTATTAAGATGACTGCATGGTTTCAGCAAGCAGGTCACTTTGCACTGCTATGCAAATTGAAGACTGCCTACATATACTTTTTTTATATGAGTTGAATGTACAAAGTAACAGCTTTTTTTTTTTTAGTGCTGTCAGGAAGGTTACAGTAGAAGACATGGTTGCTCTATTTAAAGGAACAGACAAGCAGGAGCACAATGACCACTTTCAGAGCTAACTTTGTGATGAACAAGAATCAGAAGTTTAATCTATTTTATAAATTTATGCTAAATCATAGACTCTGCATATCAAGTAATCCACTTTCTATGCTTTCCTCAAAATATTTACATGATGAATTTTTAAAACTTTAAATGCATAAGAAAATGAAAAATAGCAACACTATTATTTAGTGGACTATAATTTAAAACATTAAAAATATTGAAAATTGGGGTGGCTCCATAGTATAGTGGTTAGTACGTCTGCTTTACACGCAGGTCCTGGGTTTGCGCCCTAGGTAGAGCCACAAACCATACCTGGGGGGCACCAGGCCCCAGGCCCCGAATGCTCACCGTGAGCTCGTGGGAGAAGCCTTTCCTTCAGAGATCCAGTTCTTAAGGGGAAATGGCAATATCCATAGGTCAGGGGTGGAAGTTGGGGGGGTGGAATTAAAGAGGGGGAAAAAAACACAATGAGAATCAAGTGTTTTAGTTATTCATTTATAAAAATAAAACAGTGCTAGCCTTATTTTTTCTTGTTGTACATAACATGGAGCAAGCATTGTTTCTATGCCTCAGCAAATTGTCTTAATCCTTTCTAAATTTGGATTCAAGTAACAGATGTGCAGGGACCAATCGCCAACAGACTTTGAAATCATTATACATCTTTAATTTATTTAGTGATTTGAGGACTGAAGAGTTTCTACTTTCTGCAGGTACAGTTAACAATGCTTGGTAACTAAATGTGAACAACTTATTGAGAAACTACTCTTATTTTAATTGTACCTTGATAACTGAAATCCATGCCTACTGGAACAAAGCAAAACAAGAACAGCCTGTACTAGGTAGTGGGAAATGCTAGGCTCCTACCTTTCCATGCACGAATATGACAAATATAGCACCTGCACCTTGGCTATATTTTGAAGGCTGGAATATTAGTAGTGATATAAATGAGTTATACAGAGTATATCTCTGAAATTAAGAAAAGTTATTCCATTTGCAAGTCTCTGCTATACCAAAAAGAAAAAAAAAAAAAAAGGAAGAAAGGGACATAGTTTCTTTTTTAAGTACTTAGTATTAATAACTTACTTTTGACCTCACCAGCATGAATTGCTATTAACCCACGTCCTCCTTTCTTAAAACTCTCAATATCTTCCAAACAGAATTCAAAGTTTCCAATTGATCCTGAGGCTCCTTATCTGAATTCCTACACTTTACTCCATTCACTAATATTATACAGATTGTCAAAAATAGGTCGGGGGAAAATACCTTGATCTTCTGAAAATATGACCTCTTTGCTCAGACTTCCGTTAAGTGAAATTAGTTTATTAAAAATAAGTTTATTTTTGGAGACCTAAAAGCACACAGTGGGGTTCAAGGAATCCCAAGGTACCAGAATGAAGAGAAAAGAAGAAACTTCTTTTAAGAAACAAAAACTATAATTCACATTCTGAGAGATATGATTGGAAACCACATCTGCAGAATAAGAGTAGAATGATCTGAATAAGGACCAATTAGAGAAGAAAGAATGCTTGGAGGACAAAGTAAAAAATGAAAGCTAAAATATATATTCAATAAAATGATTAGAAAAAAAATCAAGGGTCTTTCCCCCAAAGAGTAATTTAAATACAAACACAAACTTAGGAGATCAGAAGAGGTGCAACATTTGACAAACAGAAATTAGAATTAGAACAAAGAAAATAGGGGGGAAGTTATCAAATAAATAGTCCCAGAACCGAAGAGCCTGAATCTTTCCAAATACCCTACTCAAAGAACAAAAACAAACACACATCAAGGCACATCATGGAATAATTTCAGATCACAGGGAGAAACAAACCTTCCAGAGAGAAGAGTGAGAACTAAAATGGCACCATCTTCTCATCGGCAACATAGGAGGCTATAAGACAAAGAGGCACGCCTGCAACATTCCCAGGGAAAATTCATACCAGCTGCATTAAAGGGAATTGCAGAAATGCAAAGAAACAAAAATTCAACTCCTATGTTCCCATTCTTAGGAAGATACTAGAAGATGGTGTAGAGCAAAGGAAGCATAAACTAAGACAGGAAAATACGAGATCCAGGAAATAGTGGAGCCAACCTAGAAAGTTTAGAAAAGAGACAGAGTGACAGCTGTATGGCAGACCTTGCTTACAGCAGAAAAATTAAAAGATGGGCAAAGGATGAAACATCTAGAAAAAAATAACAATGTAGAAGGAATATAAGGTGATAATTATCTCAAAGAAAAACCAAAAAGTGTACTACAAAGGAAGTATTATCTTAGCACATCAAGCTCTCTGGTGATTGATTGGTCCTTAAGCAACCATAATGACATAAACACTAGGTATTGATTTACGTGAAATCATGATGTAATTGGGAGGACAGGAAGAGAAACTGATGACGGTGTCAAATCTTCATCTACCATAAAAAGAAGGCAATTTGGACTCAATGTCTACATTATTATCAATAAATAAAAGTATTATTTAATATGGAAAAGTAACTTCTAAATCTTTTAGTCTTAACTGAGTTTTCACCCAAGGGTGTATTTTTTTTTTTTGATAATTTTTTAGTTTATTGAATTAATTTTTTACAAAAAGAAACCAACCTAAGGGATTCAACTATACAGTGAGATCCCGATTCTTCATTCTTTTTTCTTGGTTCTTTGTATACAAAGATGCTGCTTAATGTGCTCTATTCTTCATTTTTTCTCTTGTCCGTTTTCCAGGTCTCTTCTACAGAAAAAGAAATACCACATGTGGTCAACAAAGCAGCTTGGCCTTCTGCCCCAGGGTCAGGATACAAAGGGAAAGACGGGGAGTGGGTAGGTGTGGGGTGGGAGAGGAGGCTGATCCAGGCCCACACCTGGCCCCCCGGCTCACTTACATTTGATCCTTTCTTTCCAGGCCTCTTGAGGCCCTTGCCATGAGCCTTCTTGGCCCGGAAGCTGGACACATCATCGTAGCTCTCACGAGTATTCCACTTGGAGCCTTTCTTCTTTCCACCAAAACCAAACTTCTGGTTTTTATAGCGTCGTTTGGCATTGGGACTGGAAAAAAGTGGTCTTACAAGTTACCCACAGCACTACAAATCCTGATCTATCTTACGGCTCAACAATGCCTTCATTGCTCTGTCTGCAAGCAGGCACTACTGTTACCCACAATCTCATCCTTGGCCCTACATTCCTACTTAAACTCCCTAGGCAAGCTCATCTATTTATGGTTTTAACCACCAGAGCACGAAAACAAAGCAAGGACTAGGAAAGGATCCACATACATTTTTGTGGCTCACCAGTTATCTTTGGAAAGCTTTCCATTCTAATTAAATCTTGCTAAATCATCCTCAGTTGTTTTTATTCCTTTCAGGGACATATACAAGCAGTTAACATTCAAATGTAATAAATCTTAAACCGCTCATCCCACAGGAATCTCAAATTCAGCATTCCAAAATCACATATCGTCCTCCTTCCCAGTCTGGTTTCATCTCCTGTATTTACGCCCTAGCCACCAGACTAGAAACCTGGGGGCGGGCCCTGATTCTTCCTTCTTTCACTCTCTACACCCACTTGAACTAACTAACGCATCCTGCTAATTTAACCTCTTGAATATTCCTTCAATCCATTTTCTCTTCTCTACCTCAATGACCACTTTCAGGTCACTGCCATTACGTGTCCGGACTTTTCTAATAGTCCCCTAATTGATTTCCCCGCCTCCCTCAGGTCTGTCATTTACACAAGAACCACTGTAATGTCTTTTAAACATAAATATGAACTGCTCATTATTTTGAGTAAAGCCCATCAGTATCTTCCCACTGCCTACTGGAAAAACCCAAGCTTCTCGACAAGGCAAACACTTTGCCTCTCTGACTTGACATAGGTCCCCCTCCAGCTACATCTCATCACTCCTTGCCTTATACTATATTCCCAGTGATACCAAATGCTACCTGTTCTTCACATCCAAAACTGCTTGCTCATCTCTAAGCTTTTGCTTATTCGTGTTCTTTTTTCTTCCCAAAACCTACATTTCTCCTATTCTCATGGCTAATTCTTACTTATCCTTCAGACTAAGCTCAGATGGGCCCCTCCTCCAGGAAGCCACCCCAGACAGTGTTAGATATTTCTACAATGTATCTCCATGCAACTCCCTAAATGCCTTATCACAGCATTTACTATATTATACAGAAATGATCCATTACGGGCCTCGTGTCCAGGAATGCATAAAGGCGAACTAAAAGAACAATTATAATATCCAACATTATCCCTTTTAATCTTCATAATACTATGAGGCATGTAACAATTTTCTTATTTTCATAGATAAGAAAATTAACATTTAGTAACTTGCTCAGAGCTACTCCCCAATGACTGGCAGAGTCTGGATCTGAATCCGAGGTCTGTACTCAAACATCACACTTCGAGGTGAGGAATCAACTTTTACTAAGCATTCACTTAAAATACGCCAAATCCTTAAGTCATCTTATGCTAATCTTCAAAGACTGATATGGCTAAAAAAAAAAACCATCACACAGTCCTGCAAATCTGAGCCACAGACAGCAGCTACACTCTCTCAACTCTGAGGCCGCTCCTTGTGGTGGTCCCTGCCACACTCATGAACTGCAGGCTCAGTACACACGACAAAACAATAAAACATTTAATACCCCTTCTTCGTCTGCTGGCCTTTAGCTCCTTCCTTCGAGCCCCGTGCAACAGGTTTCTGATCTCCGTCAAGGAAATCTAGTTTATCAGAGAAGCCTGAGAATAAAGAAGTATTTTGGTTAGCACCATCACATTTTACAAAACACTTAAACATCAAAAGAAGATTGTTGTTTATTGAATTGATATTAAGAGGCACATCTTGCTCCCCACATTATTCCCAAACTTTAGGTCCAATAGTTCCAAATCAATTAAGGCTTCAGAGCACTAGGTGTTAGAATTAGCAGGCAACCTGCTCCCCTACATCCTTAGGAGAGAGATATACTGACCTTTCTGGTATTTTTTAATGGCATTCATCATGTGCGTTTTCTCCCGCTGCCTCTTCTGAAGAACCTCTGTTTGTACCTAGAACATGGACACGGGACTGTTACACCCATTCCAAACCATCACTGCAAGTCTCCCAGTAAAAGCACTGTGGTCACCACCACTGAACGTCTACTGTGTGCAAGTCTCCCAGTAAAAGCACTGTGGTCACCACCACTGAACGTCTACTGTCTGCATTCTCCCAGTAAAAGCACTGTGGTCACCACCACTGAACGTCTACTGTGTGCCAAAACTATGTTCGGGCTCTAAGTACATTCTCAGTTTAGCTTCTCAACAACCAAGTGAAGCAGATCTTCTTATCATCCCCCAAACTAAAGCACAGTGGGAAAGTGCAAAGGTGAGATTCACACCAGGCTATCTGCATTCTTCCCCCATTACACAGTCCTGCCTACAAAACCGTAGCAAATCATGTTTAAGTCCACATCTTAAACATGAATCTGGGCAGATTAATTACCTAACCTACTGTTACTAGGTGTAAAAGTACCACCACCACCACCACCACCAACAAAAAAACCTCCCTAAAAAACAAAAGCTTTAAGGACAAAAGGAGATGTTATTACTCTAGGGCTGAGTTTCTCGTTCTCAGCACTACTGACAGTTTGGAAAGGGTAACTGTTGGGGGTAGGTGGCCTGTCCTATGCATTATAGGATATTTAGCAGCCTCTCTGCCCTCTGCCCACTAGATGCCAGTGAGGCAACCAAAAATGCCTCCAGACATTGCCAAATGCTCCCTGGAAAGCAAAATCATCCCTTGTCGAGAACCACTGCCCTGAGGTTTCCTCAAATTAGAAAACAGTGAACCAATAGGCCCGACTGAATTTTTCTTTGCTTTAGATAAATTGTCAATCCAATTACCCATGGTTTTGAGCTGATCGCAGTCATCGACCACCAGATCAATCCAAAAAAACCCACAGCTGCCGGTTTGCAGAGGACAGGTGAAATGACCAAATGAGGACAGCAGCTCAGCACCCCAGATCACAATGGTTATGTCCAAAATGTTGACAAAGTCTTAACATCCATGCTATCTTCCTCACACATATTTCTACTCATAACCCTAAAGTTTTGTGGTATGCCTGCTCGGATTTTACATTACAACTCAAACATTCACAGTTCAAATACACAGGTGCCATTTTTTTTCTCTCAGACTGGATGACAATCAATAATATGATTCCTTTAAGGACTCTATAATCATCCGGGCCAGTGATTCTCAAACCGGGATGCATAGTGGAATCATTGGAGAAGCTTTTGGGGGAATGGAAGAAAACATGCAAACTCCCAGAGATTCTGAAGCCTGGAAATCTGTTTTAAAAAATTTCTCCAGGTGTTTCTGCTATGAGATCAGGTTTGGGAACTACTGACCTAGATCCAACTCTTCACTGTTTAGATGTGCAAACTGAAGCCCAGAGAGGTAAATGACTCGCTTGCAGTTACCACACTACTCCTGGTGACATGCTGGCATCAAGGAAAGACTGTGCTCATGAATACTAGCATGCACTACCCACTGTGAGATAATAAACACATGACTGAACACATACGGGGCTTGGAACCAAATCAGACCATGGCAATCTGGCCTGACAAACACACTCAGCCTCATCCTATCCCCCGCGCACTTTCCTTCTCACCTTCTTTCCGTATTTCCTAAGTGCTCGCAGTTGCTTAGCCTTTTCAGATTTCTCCATGGCAGCCTGTTTAGCCTGCAGTTTCTGTCGAATCTAAAACACAAAATGAATGTTGTCAGCTTATGTTATTTGAATCTGGGATGACCACTACCTAGGGTGCACTGGAGCAGAAGGCAGATATTCCCAGTTCTGCAAACTATGGAGCTCAAAGGAACCTTGTAAATCATTTATTCCAAGCCTTGTGTTTTACACATGAGGACAATGAGGCCCAAAGGCTAAGCACTTTGTCCAAGATACCAAATGTATCAGTGGTGAAACTAGAACTTTAAAGCGACCGTCCCACTCCCAGTGTGCTATTTGTTCCATTATACAAAACAGCCTGTTCGCGGTTTTGCCAGGTGAAATTACCTTCTCCCCATCCCTACTGTGTGCAGACTGAAGTGAACCCAGCATGTAGCCCCAGTTCCCTTCTCCAATATACCACATAAACTCCAACAGGTATCAGGCACCTAGCCTTTTCCACCAAACATATACATTTCAGTTAAAGGATGGGGAGCTGTTAGTGTGAATGTAAAGAGGTGTGTCTGGGCTCATCTTTAGATTAGCTTCCCTAAGTACCACCAAGATAAGAGCTCCCTAAAATCCAGCTTATGACCCAAAGGAACTATTTCAAAACATCTTGGATTAGATTTTGGCAATTCTCTTCCTCCCAAAGTTAAATGAGGACCAAGTTCTACGTAACTCTGATAAATTATACTATATCTGAGCCATACACCAATCGCTCATTTTACAGAAAACTGAGACCCAGACAAAATAAATTGTCTACAAGTTGTAGCACTGCCCACTAGTAAGGACAAGAACTGTGTTTTTTCTACACACCATGCCATGATCATACCAACTAGAAAATACAAAGACCATCTTTATCCCAGGGACCACACTTTTTCCAGTACTTTTCCTCCACTTAATTGTTTAAATTAGGAAAAAGTTATCCTTATATTTACCTAATTGGTGGTGACTGGCATGAGTCTAAAATAGACAACAGAGATAATAACTGTCCTCTAACAACCAGTTCCCTATTTTTAGGCTTACTCTTTTTTAAAACATTATAGAAGGTAAGCCAGCTGAATATATTTAACCACAATGCCCCGGATTTCCAGAAAAAAAGTCCCTGTTTCTTACCTTCTGCATCTGCTGATCAGATTTGGCCATCTCTGCAAAATAATCAGTGGGCCGCTTGGTAGGGACTTTGAGCTGATGGAGGCGGGGTAATACTGCAAGCACTGCGGCCTGGGCCTGACGGTAGCTGAGGATATAGGACAAAGTGTGAATAATCTAAGGGGAAGAGGCCTTACATTCCTTCACACTGCTTCTCACGAGTTACCCAAGGTCAGAAAGACTCAACACTAGCAAGAACACACACACAAACAAAAACTGTAATAAAACCCCATTAACTTGGTATCTATGAGAAATTTAACCAAATGCTCTTTTTAAAAAGGGGGGCGAGGAGTACTGCTGAAAATAAATTAGTAGTTTAAGAGAATGGCCACTCTAAAAGTATAAACTAATGCCAATTATGAATTCTTAGGTAGTCACTAAAAAAGTTCATATAAGAACCTTTCATAAACAAATTTTTGTTCTAATAATGGAATGCACAAAAAAAACTTTAGCTCTTCTTAGTCAAAAGAAGCCTTCCTCCCTGCTCCCAGGCTTTTAAGATAACTTCTGAAAAGTACAGGCTCACCACTTTCCTCCTCTCCCCCTTCTCTAGTATAGGGACCCACAACTTCTCCCACATTTGAAAACATACATACAAGCTCATCTCCCGCTGGAAGTCATCTTCTGGATCAACAGTTTTCTGATCCTTGTTCTGAGATGTTGACTGAGGTCCACTGATTTCTGGCACCGGACCGAGAGTAACATCAAGCCTTTCAACCCATTCCAGATCCCGCTTGAATTCAGCCAAACATTGCTTCAGGCCATTCTACGAAATTCAGAGACTGAGCTCCTAAGAATGGAAACCTGAATATGTCTCTCCCAAGCCCAGGGTGCTAGGCCAACCGACAAAGTGCTAACCCCCAATAGCCTGACAGGTAATTGATCCTCTTGACAATGCGCAGATTGCGTCTTTCCTGGAACAAGAACTGGGTCACCCAAGCACAACCCTTGTGCTTATCTCACGTCCGAGAACCCCCGACCTGGCGCCCGAGCTCACCACGTCGTTCACGGCTTTCTTCGGCCCTTCTAGCACGACATTTAGGCCTGGCTTCAGAAGCCCTCGAGAAAACGCATCCTGCAACTGCAGGACAAGATCAGCGGTAAGTACTAGAGGAGTAAGGACTTCTCCCGCACCGAGCCCTCCAGCTCGGCTGACACCTACCTCTCGGTCTGTGACAAGAGAATCATCAGAATCCGAGTCCGAACCTGAAAGCGGGGGAGTGTCCATCTCGCAGCGCGCACGTCCAACACCTACCGGAGGAGGAGGAGTAGGCCAAGGCCCGCGCCGCAGGAAAAGGGCGCCTTTCCCCTCTGTCGCCTGCCTTCAGCCCCCTACCCTCACGCCGCGACTCCACGTGGACCCGAAACACTCTAACGCCAACTATTCACTACGGCTGCGAAACTTCCTGACAGTAACTTCCGCTTCCGGCCGCAGACCCACACTTCCTGTTTGTCGTTGCTATAGGAACCGCTCCCGCATTGGAAAGTGTCCGGGTTGCTTAGGTTCCGTAAGAGTGCTACGGTAGGAGTACTACCCCTGGAAACACGTGTGAGCTGGTGACTCGGAGAAGAGGAGAGGTGGGAGCGGGTACCTACCTGGGGGTCGTCCGGAGGAGCAGGAAGTCGCGAGGGTGCAAAGAAAAGGGGAGAAGCAGGAGTCTCGGGGAGGGGGCGGGGATGAGGGGCG